CAAGTAGTTTTTATTATTATTAATACCTTGCCCAGGCGGCCCTACGATAAATCCCTACCGGTTAGTTTATTTAAAGTCTCTAGGCCTAGACTGAAATTTGATGTTTATATCTGGGCCGAACTCCACCAGCCTGGGGTACCGACGAAACACGTGTCCCGAGATTTGGTTTGTAACTGTCGTGCCATTGTGGTAAATTAAAGGGTAACTTTATCCTACTCTCTGCCTTTTGGTAGCATGTCTATATTACGCTAGTACCCCGCGGGGCTGATTGTGTTTGGGCCAATTATATGCCTAGCATTTGGTCTATGCTTATAGATCTTGAATAATCTAACCTAGATCAAGCACAGATAGTAACTTCTAAAGAAATTAGAAAGTCGTGCTATAAATGTCTTCCGACCATTTAAATTGCGATTGGTTGCACGCGTGTTAGGACGGCACGCAACATGGGTCAACATTATTGCCGTCTTGGGCTCAGGATGACAAAGAGCCCCCCACACACCCGTAAACGTGCGCAGGTGCAATGGGCCACGCGTACACCTAACAACGCCGCCAGGGGACAGACATCACACGATGGCTGCCCGGATAAGCCGCTCGCGCATGGATCAATAAAGAGCCACAAAGCGGACAAGGGCTACTTTTCCTCAAATACGATGCCGCGGACAGAAGGCGAGACTAACTGCACACGGAGACAACTTGACGAACACGCCGAGAAGCTGATGTACACGCAGGGGCTGTTTCAGTAAACTTTTTTTTCTTATATCCTGTCTGTTTTCTAATCTGCGCATACAACTGGGAGACATAACAACGCACCTGTCTGGCTTGTGTTAGACGGTGACTTACAGCCGGTTGGTCGACAGATCATTGTGCGCGGGAGTGAAATCACGCCAAGGCATACTTTCATGTGACAATTCAACACATGTTTTCTTCCTGCGGTGCGATGTAATTCGTTTTTTGAAAGAGTACCAGCTGGCTGGGCAACTCGTTCCCCTCTCACGGAACACCGCTTTCCCTTGAAGTTGCGCGTTTTGTATGCACACTGGACCTGCTTACCACCATTAGAATTGCAATGGGCGGCTTCCTGCCGGATTTGATGTGGACCGTGTCACGTCTCCCTCCCACGTGTCTAATTGGACTTTCTATGTCTCTGTGGTATTGTTTTTTGGCTGTATTAGCCGTGTCTCCGTGGCTGCTTGGGACCATCGGTGGCACCATCTGCCTGCTCCTCCTCCTGCTCCTCGGTCTTCTCATCCTTGGTCTCCTCTATCGTCGACACCAACGCCGTCGGGGCCCTCCAGCTGACCCCCCAATCCGAATGGACATCAGTTATCCACTCGACAGGCCTGAAATGTGAGGTCCTGTCCCCTCCCCCCTCTGCATGCTTCCGTCTTTTCTGTGCTTTAATGATGTTTATTCATACTATCACGACCACTGGCCGACGGTAGTAGCTTGCAGTTCAACCTGGCCTTATTTTGCGCTGTTCTGAATTGTTACTGAAAACCTATTTAGTAGCGGTTTTATTTTAGCTATAAATGAATCGACAGATTTACCATTGAAACTCTAGTAAAATTAGACTCATGAGAGGTATCCGGCCGAGCCAAACATCCGTTTTTGAAGTATAAGTGTGCTGGAGGTATGGTAACGCAATCTTAGTGTATGCTGAACACTCTCAGTTTTCTCCACGGGACACTGTTAATGCTCAATTATCCCAAACAGTAAAGAGGTCGGCTCCCAAGGAACACATTCGAATAGCGTGTCCCCATAGGACTGCAGTTCCTCTCGTTCTCATACGCGTGCATTCTAATTGCCTGTCTGCTTTTAGGCTAAACGTTGTTATATACAGTAACTGCATCATTGACAGCATAGTTGTCCTGTGATACAGGTTCGCCTTGGAATACACTATTGCCCTCGGAAGATAGCCTGGACCAGTGTCCTTCACGTGCAACTTAAACGTTGGTGACTATCAGAACACAAAACAGTTGGCCTTCATTTTGTGCACTGCGTATCTGCTGTTCTTAGCATCGTCGGCAAAGACAAGGGACACCGGAATGTGGCCATTTCTTGCTC